TCCCTACACACCTGTTTGCATGACTGTATTTTTAAGCCAGATGCACGTTACCTATATAAAAAATGTTTTTCATTTAAAAAATTACTGTAATAAAAAAGTTGCCCTGTCCTAGTGCTCCTCTTGTGCCCCAAGGCATGAAAAAGTATCCCTTAAGTATCTATAATATGTATTGCTTCTATGAAGAGACTCTTACCTGAAACAGCTTTACTTAACATTTGCATAATTATAGATATTACTTACTTTATTTGGAATGTTATGGTCAGTTTCTTCTAAAACATATTAGTCATAATGAGTATGTGAGAGTTTAAATCGAAAGTAATTTTGTTCTTTAAGATGCCATTGATTCTTTTAATTTTACTCTCAGCGGTGAGGACAAAAGGATACCACTAGCATGCTTTTTAAGCCTTTCATATATTATCGAAACAGAATCATTCACTGTTATCTGTTTTTGTCCACTTCACGTCTTACAGATTGTAGGTTAAGCAAGCGTTATAATACCACGAAAATATTACAGTAGTATTACAAACCCATTTTTTGTTGTTCCTCATTCTGCACACTTGCTTCAGGAAAATCCCGTTAGACTCAGGGATACATATTTGAAACTGTATCAACTGGCTAAATTTATGATGTAACAGGACACAGATATCCCTTGGCACACTATTTTTGAAAATCTCGTCTGAGGCTGTGTAAGTATTCACTCCTGTTCTTCATTCTTAAGTCTCCAAGAACATAAACTATATGGAAATAAGAATGTTACTGAAAAGCTACCTTTTTAATAGTAAAGTTTCTAAACACAATCCCTAGCCCCCTCCCCCTTCCTGCCAGGGTTGGTAAACTTTTAGCACTGTCAGTTGAAGACTTGTCTTATTGAATAAATCCTTAACTACAATCCAGTTTATCTACATTTTGAAACCAAACTCACTTTTAGGAAAAACACATGCATTACCAAGTAAATTCATGTCAAAGCCACTTTCAGTACTTCTTGAAATAAGAAACAAAGAGAAACTATAAAGACCGTATCTAACATTTTAAAACAACAATGCATATTCTGTCTTGGGTTACTCACTTATCACAATCTCCTGTTATTCTTCTAATAATTTTTTGCCCTTGTGGAATAATTATTGTTATTTGTTGAAATCACCATTATTATAGTCTTCGTGTTGGAAAGGAGGGTCTTAAAAGATGATCTAAGCTGTGGTCTCCAAAACTTAACTCCTCTAAGGAGAAAGCACTTAAAAACAAAATAAAAAGAGCAACAGAAAAAGCAAGGTGGTTCTGATTGGTGGGAGGACTTGTGCTCTCCGTTCCCTCAAACATCAGAGAACTGACACTTTTCCACACTTTCCTAATAATGTGTACAAAATTACAGAGTATACTAATCTGCAAATGCAGTTCTTTCTGATTAAAATGACACCAAAACATGTTAGTTTAAATATGTCTAGACTAATATATTGGAAATTACAGCACTAGAAGATGAAGTACTTTTTCAGATGTGACCCGATCGTGTTAAAATGCAATGGTAGTTGCTGTGGATATTGAAGCAGGACTCCTGCGTAATTAAAGTGGTGCATACAAAATTGTCAGAGCTCTTCTGTATGTCACATTCTGTAGGAAAGAGAACTTTTGCTACAGAGATGCTCTTTTTAAAAAAGAAAGAAAGAAAATGATTGACAATGAATTAGCATCTGTAGGCTGGAGTGATCCCTGAACTCTCATCTTTCTTAACTGAGAAAAGTAAGATTGAGGTTTATTAATTCAGGTACTTTTTGGTGCTTTGAAACATAGATTATCCAAAACAAGTCACTGCTATGTCAAGTATTATGTGGACTCTAATTAAACTCCATTCTGCTGTCATTATCAAAAGTAGTAATGAGCAGGGACCCTGTAAGAAGATGTCAAACTAACAACAAAGGTAATTTGAGCCCGTCTGATGAAAATAAGGGTAGTGGCTGAGTATCTGAAAGAGGGAAAAAAAATCTTTTTCCATTCCCTGCTTTATGCTCAGATAAAAAGACACTGGTCAGTATGATGGTCAGTGCTGCTACTTAGTGGGCCAGAGCCACATAGGAGGCCCCAGTTTGACTCCTAGATCACCCTAGAAAGGAGAAAGTCAGGCAACATGGCAGCACATCTG